TACAGGATCATTTTCCTCACTGTAATACAGTCAGTGCAAGCAGTATTCCTTTCAGCACTTAGATAAACTGCATTTAGCTGCTTTCATGAATTGGAATTTATTTGAACATAATTAAGTACTTCTACAATCTAAAATCCCTACAATACATTAAAGCATTTCTTAAGTGGTAAGATTTATTAAAAAGATAAAGGTCTTAAAGTAATACCTATTTTAAATAGATTCTGCCAAAATAGGCATTCTATTTCCTCAAATTCACTTTTTCATTGGAAATTAACAGAATTATTGGGAAACGTAAAACTTAACAGCTTAGATTTGTCCCTTGCATTATTTATATATTCAAATCTGCAAATCTAACATTTTGTTAACCAGTATAGCCAATGTAGTTTTGACATTTTTGCCTCATGTACTTATTCTACTATTTGGCCTTTTAAAATGCCTTTTGATTTTTCCTAGCTGTAATATAGGAGGGAGGCCTGTGCTAAACATGTATTGTGTTTTTTTATGTTTTGAGTGTAGTAGCAGCACAAAAAATAAAGGCTACATTATGCCTGCAATGGTTCCTTCATGCTGACATGATCCTCTCTAGGAGCTAAGCAGAGTCATGAAACAGTTTAGATTGAAGGGACCTGTAAAGGTCATCTAGTTCAAGTGCCTGGCAATGAGCAGGGACATCCTCAACTAGATCAGGTTGCTCAGAACCTCATCCAACCTGGTCTTGATTTTTCCAGGGATGAAATACCCACCACCTCTCTGGGCAACCTGTTCCAGGGTTTCAACGCTCTCACTGTAAAAAATTTCTTTCTTATATCCAGTTTAAATCGACCCTCATTTATTTAACACCTATACCCCTTGTCCATACCACAGGCCCTGATAAAAAATTTTTCTGTTCTAGTCCCTCTTTAGGTAGTGGAAAGCTACAATAAGCTCTCCCTGGAGTCTTCTCTTCTTCAGGTTGAACAAGCCCAACTCTCTCAGCCTGTTTTCATAGGAGAGTTTTTCCATCCATCTGGTCATCTTTGTGGCCCCTCTCTGGTCCTGCTCTGACAGATCCGTGTCTTTCCTGTGCAGAGGGCTCTGAGCCTGATGCAGTACTTCAGGTGGAGGGCAGAGTTAGAAGGGCAGAATCACCTCCCTCGACCTGCTGGCCATTCCTCTCTTGCTGCAGCCCAGCATGCTGTTGGCCTTCTGAGCTGCCAGCACACACAGTTGGTTCATGCCCAGCTTTTTGTCAACTGGAACTCCCAAGTCCTTCTCTTCAAGGCTGTTCTCCATGAGCTCTTCTTTTAGTATGTACTGTATGTAAAGCTATAATGTCATCTCTTAACTGTCTCTTTTTTGAATCAAGTGACCCACTGATGTGTGTGAGTAACTTAAACTGTCTTCCAATGCACATTAATGTGCTCTTGCTTAAGCCATATTTCATTTGCTACGGAGCCCTTTCCCATTTCTTGGCACTGTAAGATCCTCAGTTTCTCACTAATTTCCTGCCTCACAGACTTTACATTAAAACCATCATCAACCTTCTACCTTTTTTGCAACCTGTGAATCTGTTGAATATGAGTACTATAGCAACAACCATAGTTAACTCTTTTCTGTCTCCTGAAAAAATCTCAAATAAATTCCTGAATTTGGCCTTTCAGCCTATGCTCCATTACCTCAACAGTCTCTTATGAGCGCTGTGTCACTGTTGAAGATTTTTATGCTGTATGCATAATGATGCTGAAAATGTTAGTACACACAGCAATTAAACAAAAATATTTCAACTAACCGAAAATTCTTATTTATAGAAGCATAGTGGTACTTCAGCTGCCTTTGATAATTCGATAGAGGACTTCCAAAATGGTCTTACAGGTAACTGCTTGCTCAAGCAGTAAAGGGTTTCCTCTTTGCCTACCTTGAAAAACAAGGGGAGAAAAGCTGATATTAAATGCTCTCTGATATTAGCCAGCCACATAAATAAAGAAGTTTCCAGAGACCCTAACCTAGTGGTGCACCATCCTGGACTGTACTCAGTCCACAGAGTTGCTGATACAAAGGTAGACTGCTGTATGATCAGATAAGCAGTCTTCTGTGTAAAATACTTGAAATTCTTTGGAATATGTTTTTCAAGCAAATCACTAATCTGAGCACAGAAAACTATATTACTCTCTTCCTGAGATGTTTTCTGAGCTTGATTTTCAAATATATTTTAATTTGGAAAGGGGCAAAGTACTGATTCTATCAGTGGAGATGCAATCAGGATGATGAGCGTGAATCTCAATTCAAGAAAAAAGTGGGATTCTTCTTTTCAGTTTCCTTTAACAGATACACTGTGTAAAGGAGTGAATGGAGATGTCAAAACTAAGAGAATCAGAGTACTTTGATTTATATGTCTTCATTTTAGCCAAACCCTATCTATTTTCTTGATTTGTTGCTACAGCTAGAAGAAACACATTTTGTGAATATGCTGGATATATAGATAATGATTTACTTATTTTTATTTTCTAAGGCAACATTTTTCCTGTTGATAGACTTTTTAATTATGTTCTTTAAAATAGTTCTGATCACTCTTATTTGTACAAACAGCAAAAGTAAAATCCTTCATGCTTTTCTGCATATTCCAGTTGTGTTCTCTCTGTCCTCAATTAAAACTCCCCTATAAATATGAAAATTTTCTTGCTGATGCTGTACCATGATTTGTTTGCATATTTCATTGCTGTAGGTTCTAGATGAAATGAAAGAAGATCTAGTTATCTATATATCAGACTGAATTTTCCCTACAACTTACCTATTTTTGAACTGAAAAGTTGATATGCATTAAAACAGGTATTATTTTAAATGCATATATCTAACATGTCTAGTAATCTTAAACAGGATTCCCCTCATATGTGCACTTCATCTATGTGTCTTTCAAGGAGCTGAGTACTGCAATTATTATTTGTTTAAAATCCAACTCAGACTCATCAGCTAAGAGAATGATTAAAAATAAACTACAGAAATAATAGAGAGTAAAAAGTCCATCTACTCATTACTTTCATCTTCCCACATATCAGGGATGCCACTTAACTTTTACAACAAGACACACAAAAAAAGAGAATTATTTACTACCAGCCATAATAATTTTTTTCTTAGTCACTTTAAGCAGAAAAAAAAAATTATATTAGTTCCCTTTTTTTGAAAATGGAAAGTTAACTGTCTAACTCCATTGCTTTCCTATGGTTGACAAAGCACAACTCAAATAGAAGCATTCAGATAGTGCTGCATGTGGTATTTGGATTATTATCTCCTGCCCTTTCAAGACTCTGTTTGATATCAAGGTGTTTTAAAGCTGGATGAGCACGCATGGAGCTCTCTATAGAGCTTATGTTGTTTAATAAAAAGACTATTCAATAGAATTGTACATAGGGGATCTTATTTGAAGAATCTCTAGATAACAAAAAAGAGCTATTTCATAAAAAAGATAACCCTTACGACGGGGGGAAAAAATCTATTAAATGAAAAATGTTCCATTCTGACAGTTTTACATTTGCTTCTTCTTGCTAAACTATCAAAAAGGGATCATTGGGGAAATATTATAGTTAGCAATGTAGGAGGAAAAACTGCAGTAAGTAGCAGCTTAGAAGAAGTGATTGACATATTCAATATCATGAATGAGAGAGGGAAACCATGATGGCATGGGGAACAGGACATAATCTATACAGTGTCACTGCTGCTTAGTTAAACAAACCAGCTTTTCCAGACAGTGAAACTTTTCAATTACTAGGTTTTGAGAGAATAAAGAATCAATATACATATATCTGCAATACTGAAAAAGTCATTACATGGTCCAATAATTTCTATTTTAAGTTCCATGGTTTTGTATTTGTGTACTCATCTGCAAGAATGCACTTGTTTTTTACTAATCCTTACATTATCTTATGTTGAAGTTATCCCTTTAGCATCACTTTGGCACCTGGCCCTTTGCTCTTAAGTACATCCTTAGCAGGGGAGGTAGAAGAACGATGTTCAGGGGCAAATTCAGAGCACTTCATCAGTGAACTCGAACTGGTCCCTGTTGTAATTCTTTATGTTCCACACTTCTAATTGCTGAAAATAATTTTTGGCAATGATAAGTGCTCAGTGATCAGAAATGGATGCAGATGCAGACCACATCTGAAGGGGAATGTTGTGGTCAGAGTTAGAAGTAATGCCATTATCAAAACGTTTGTGCTGTCGAAACCACAGAAAAAATTATCTGCAGAGACTGAGGCGTGCCACAGACAATGAATGCAAAAGGTGATCAATTTTTCTCTTAAATCTGTAAGCTTTATAGTCCCCTTCTGAATAGTAAAGTTCTCTCCTGATAAGAGAACTATTAACATGTTTCCTCTGTTCTTTATGTTACTCTTTCTCTTATTGCTTTCCCAGAATTAATTTCTACTGCATGGTATTATCTACATGGTATTATATATATGTTTCTCTCCTCATTACCTTTTGCTTGCTTTGCTGCTTTTTTAAAAAAACTGCTACATTCTGTGCATCACAAAAATCCAAACCCAATTATCTACTTGACAGTTAACTTTCTATTAAAAAACGTTATAATTTTAGCCCTTCTTAAACTAAATAAAATTCCTTGGATGGAGGAAGTGTTAGGTCAGTAATCCAGAATATTGCATATGTTTATACACCTTTGGGCCATTTTGAATGCATATATCGAACACTTTTTCACTCTACTGTATAGACAGGGCTCGGACATAAATCTTGTCTAACAAGGTTAATCCCAACTAATCTTTTTTTTCTTTCTTTTGATAGTCCATATTCTTGATAAAATAGACAACAGTCAAATCTTTTTGTTAACTGGTACAGTTTACACTTCAACTAATCTATTTTATGCTAAGTAAACATCTGATCTAAAGATTTGAACAGAGAAAATTTGTTTTAATGCTTCAATGCCAACACAGCATTATACGCATTTTTTCAGCTTTTACAAATCAAGCAGCAATCAAGTGAGCAGTTCTTATAAAAAAGCATTTAAAAAAAAGTCCTTCGTACACAATATATTTCATTATTTGTAAAGACATTTTCAAATATGGTATAAGTGAGAAATACTAGCTGAATCATTCAGTATTTACTCTTGTCAATGAAAGCTAATATTGTATATCATTATAAAAAAGAATATTTAATTTTATTTTACTTTAGAAGATGAGTGGAATTACCAAACAGCCTGTAAATGACAAGGAAAAGATACTTTAGGGCACACGTAATATTGTGGTAAAGTAAAAAATTAGATTTAAGATTTCATATTCATTTAAGCTTACCTCTTCAGAGCCAGAGCCAAAAATCAGCAGGTCAAAAGGTATTGCAGCAACCATGTCAATTAGGAACCAGCCTTTGAAGTAGTGAATTGCTATTTTTGCTGGGTCACTTACCACTTCTTCATTCTGGTTTACATATGTTGTTCTGAAGTTTATTAGAATGTCAATGATAAACATAATATCCACAATTAAATCTACAACATTCAGTGGGCTGCAGGAATATCCACACTCTCTCCTCTTCCGATCCTCACTATCATTCAGAAGGAAGGCAGCAGAGTAAGGGGTGAAAATGGCCGTGTATATCACCAGCAACAAAATGAGCCAGTCCCAGACGGCTTTGAAAGGACTATAGTGCAATATAGTAAACTTGTTGATGCGAGGTGTCTGGAGTTTATATTCTGGTAGAACATCAGCCCCTAAGGATAGAACCTACAATAAGAAATATACCATGTAAATAAACAGACAGTGTATCTACTGAAACTTTCAGTAAACTTAGAAAATACAGGACAAACTTAAAAGTATTTCACTGTAGTTTTGAGGATTAAGCTTCAATTGGTGTTTTGGCAAACTAAACTTGTGTGAAATTCATGATTTCTGCCAGGTCCAATAAATTCATTGACAATTTTTCACGTTAGGTTAATTCTTGTCCCCAGTAGCAACCCTTAAGTGGCATATCTAGTTTGTAAAATCTGCATAATTAAGCATGTCATCAAATTCATTTATTCACCACATGATAACCTTGCCAGACTGTTCACAGGCAGTGAATGACTTTTCTTGGTGTTATGTAGTGTTTTTCTCCCAAAGCAAATCTATTATCATTGGCTTAAATTCACTACAAAAGATTCTGCTCTCATTAGAAATTGTAGGAAACCAGAAATAAATTGTTAGAGAAAGATCCGTTATTGTCCTTGACAGCTAACTCCAGTTTGAGTCCTGTGTTGTGGAAAACTTTCATGCACATGCACTTTCATTTCACTGAGGCTGTAATTCTAGTTCAGCTAAAGGTGTAACAAAGAATGATACCACAGGAGTATTGCTTTTTGCTTCACTTCTACTATTGTCAGTGCCTAAAGCTTGTTATTATTCCTTTGGAAGTATGGATTTGTTATCTGCTTGTGTTATCTAAGTTGGATTTCAATTTTATTTGGAAGGATTATGTTTGTAAGCACTGCCTAATTTGCTGGCTCTGGAAGCTGAAATGTTTGCTTTGTTGCAAAGAACAAGCACAGTGTGGGCACCAGATAAAACAAATTTCCTTTGGCTGCTCCTTCAGTCTGACTGAACTCTGACAAGAAGGAAACAAACCTTAAGAGTAAGAAGGTAAATTATGATTTTGCTCCTATTCAATGTTTATTGTAGTTATAGAGACTGTAAGTAATGATGCTAATTATTGCCTTCTGTGCTCCAAATCCTATGGGACTCAGATCACCACTTCATTTTACACAGACCAATAAACAAACATCAGATGGTGACAACCTTTAGTTACTAACCATTTTGACAATATTCATATCCAGGAAAACTTATACCCTTTTTCCTTTACTTCTACTTATTCCTTGTTTCCATGCTAATTAAAAAAGTTATATTTAGAAAAACATATCTTTCAAAGGTTATTAAAATGCCTAATTCTATTCAAATGAAATAATGATTGGAAGAAGAGTTACCTTCTCAGCAACACTGTATGCTTTTATATGCCCTTTTTTTTTTTTTTTTTACAGTTAGTTGTTTGAGATTTGAGATTTCAGCTTGTTCAAGATAAAGGAAGTTCATGCCTCTCAAACATAATCTTATAAAAATGTAAGGGTCAACACACTTCTTGTTGTTTAACATTCCAACAGCAAGTGTTGTATAAAGATCCTATCCTTAGTAATCTAAAAGCACTTCTTATTAAGTCAAGTTCTACTCTGAAAATGTTGTGGGAACACAAGGGTTAATAACCACTCTTCTTTGAAGAGTGAAGAAAAAATTAAGCCATCCAAAAGATTATACGGTAGCCTCAAGCAGCCATTAAGCACTGTGTTGACCTGGTGGTAGAGGTTGTTCATCAATTTTTTGTATTGTAACTAGGACTTGCACTTAACTAATGGTGCTAACTAATTTTTTATGCATCAAACACATTAGCTGGCAGCAAGCTGAAGCATTGCTTAGTCTTTTAAGTAGTCTTAATATTTTCAGACCCCCACCTGGTGAGTTGACAAGAATTTTTTCCTAGTATTTGGGAGCAGTGAGTACATGTGACAAGGGAACTGCTATTTATAAAATCTGTATCACTGTTCTCCTGCTGGATTTGCAGACAGTGAAGGAAACGGATTAGACAACAAGAACAATACAGCTTACTTCACAAGTTTCTTGCAGTTGCTTGAAAATTCCAGACAGTGTGCTTCACTTCAGACCAACACATAATGTAAATTGGACTTAATCCCCTGAAATCTGGCTCCTAGTCTCATTTTAGTTACATTTATTCCTAGGCTGATTTAGACTAAATTAGGTGAAACTGAAGAGTTAAAAAAAAATTCAGTTGGACAAAATGAGAGAACAGCAGTATAAAAGTGATCACAGCAGAAGTGGATCCAACTTTTTTTGTGTTAGTTTCTTAGACACACCCAACAAGAGAGGCTGACTGACGGTTGAGAGTTTCATATTCATAAAGTGATACAGAACTTTTTTGCTTCTGCATTGCTTACTTGCATGCAATGAGAAGTGAAAACAAACACTCGTAACTATTTTTCTTTGCTGTATCTTAAGAAAGAAGATGGGACTTCATTTCTGAAATAAAAAAAGGATCAGAGTTGCACATACACAAAAAGGAGAAAACACATTATTTAGTTTCATATTGGCAGTTTCCATAAAGACTAATTGCATATGAGATGAATTTGTCGTCTTACTGTTCTGTAACATCCTTGCAAGGCTTGTGTACTCGTGTAATCTTGGCCATCTTGGCTAGATAGAAGACTCAATTTACTTAGAAATCCACTCAAAAGACTTTTAATATTTCCACTTGATTAAAATATATGTTGGAAAATTCACTGTTAGTAAAAAGACAATTCATTAAGTCTGGGCAATTTATTCTCTTCTGGGCAATGAAACTCTCGTAGTTTGGATTGTAAAAGAGGTAGCTTAGGGAATGAAACATTTTTAAGAGTAAGCAGCGTGACTGGGACAAAAAACAAATATTGCAGTGCTAAAAACTCTTTGACTCTTGGGATGAGACATGATGACAAAGTCAGCTTCTTTGCATCTTACTAAAAAGAAGACTATAATGCTTAGTCACAAAAGTCATAGTAGCTGCAATGGGTTTCTCTTAAGAAAAATTACAGCTATTCAATCTTGATGAAATACTATCTCACTGTGGCTTTCCTGGTGAAAACAATAATATATTTAAAACTGGTATGTTTTACAAGCAGTATTAGATGATAAGATTTAATCTCTTTACAAGGAGAACATTTCAAGGTTACACAAACTGTGCTGTATTTTGCCTTTGAGTAAAGAACTGTTTACCCCATTCACTGTTAAACCAGCGCTGCTGAGAGTCAGAAGACTTCATTAAAGCACATTTTTCATTCTGAGAAGCTTGCTTGAGGTGTTTGAGAATCACAGACAGGGCTGGTGAACACCTCTTACTCTTTTTAGGTTCATATGCTCACTTCCCAAGATCACAAGTTCAAGGTAGCTTTTATTATAGAAGGGCTGCAATCAGATACCCAGAACAATATGAAGTGAGATCAAAGTAACTGTCATAAATTCACACTTTTTAGACAGATTTGTCTTTCTGAAGTGTTTGGTAGCTTTCAGTTTCTCAAAGATAACAGTAGTTCATTGAAATTGAAAGAAAATATATTTAAGAAGAATGATAATTTAATATTGGCATAGGTTCTGTTAAGCAAGAGAAAAAAGGAAGCCATGTACCAGAGGCACACCAGAGGTACTCTCATGTGATAGTGAATGAAACAAAAAAAAAAAGGAAAAAGATTCAGTAAGCCTTTATCACTTTAAACTGGGTTACACTATTTGTGGTATTATCTTTTTTTGGGCAGTTCTAACATCTTTCCCCTTTAAGAAAACCTGCCTGGTACCAGGCATAATTACTGTTGTGTGTTTGTGTTTAAAAGGCCTTGTTTTGCATAGTATTTCTTGGTGAAGTGTCAAAGAGCCAAACTAGACGGATATGCTTTGCAACACATTGGAATATGCTTCACTAGGTAACTTCTTACATGCTCTGTGGCATCACAGGCAGCAACAGCATTTGACTCTTCTTCCCTGTACAAGTTCTTTTATAAAATGGAATTTGTAGGCAAAATGTTAGACAAGATGTTGGATGATCTGGGAATTTTACTCTGGTGTCTGTTATTGAGTTTTCTCAGTGATCTTAGGCAAGCTGATGTTTAACTTAACTTCTGTCAAATAGAGAGAATAATATTTACCTACTAAACCGACAGTATCCTGCAAAGGATAATGAGCAGAAAACATTTATAAAAGCTGTTTTGCAAGAGCAACGGGCTATCATAATTCTTACTTCTCTAAATTTAGTTGATTCTTTTTATTTTTAAGATTAGTTCCCACAAATATTTGTCCTCTTCTGCACCAAATGAAGTGTGACCAGCAGGTCGAGAGATGATTTTTTCCTCTCTACTCCATGTTCATGAGACCCCACCCGGAGTGCTGCATCCAGCTGTGGAACCGCCTGCATAAGAAGGACATGGACCTGTTGGAGTGAGTATAAAGGAGGCCACAAAGATGAGCAGGGGGCTGGAGCACCTCTCTTAATGAACACGGGCTGAATTAGGGTTGTTCAGCCTGGAGAAGGAAAGGCTCCAGGGAGACCTTATAAGCACCTTTCAGTACCTACCAATGGCCTAAAGAAAGTCAGAGAGAGCTTTTTACAAGAGGACAAGGAAGAATGGCTTTAAACTGACAGAAGGCAGGTTTAGATTAGATATTAGGGTGAAATTCTCTGTGAGGGTGATGAGACACTGGAACTGATTGCCTAAAGAACTTGTGGGTGCCTCATCCTTGTAAGAGTGTTCAAGGCCAGGTTGGACGGGGCATTGAGCAACCTTATCTAGTGAAAGGTAGCCTGGTCCATGCCAGAGAGATCGGAATGAGATGATCTTTAGGGTCTCTTCCAACCCAAACCATTCTAACATTCTGCTATTCAAACTGTACAGTTTCAAGAGACTCTGAGAGAGTCGTACTGCTATGTATCACATGTATATTCATAAATTTTGTTCTGAGGCATTTCAAATCTCAATTTATTAAAGAATGCAAATGCACACAGTAACAGTAAAAACCAAAGATGCATAATAGTGTATTAATAAATCATAAGAGAAATCATAAATGATGAATGCCACCATGAATTGTTAAAGAAATGTTTCTGTCAAACCACTGCATGGATTCAGAGTATGGTTTCCCGGCTATTCTAGCACTGTCAGAGG